AGCAACCACACTAACTGACTAAAATACATCAAGCAGGATACAAACTCCGTAATAGCAAGCGCCATGATCAAAATATCTGTTGATATCTTTTTTAGCTTTTTACCAAATACCAAGATGATGATTAAATTACCCGGCAGACCGGTCAGGCATATTGTGCATACCCAGATGGAATTGATCACATTAAAAGCACTCATTGTTTGCGTTTGGAGCTGTGACTCTCTTGGCCAATCTCAGGAAGATAATTTATCAACTATTTAGAGTTCATCAAACTAAATTGAGCAAGAATAATATTGTACTTAAAAGCGTTTCAATCGCGAAGCTCACCGAATGAGGTATAGAAAGAGATGAGAAAATGTCTGGAAGGTTGTGCAAACTACGTTTTTCCGTGTAGACAATAATCCGGAATTTGTGATATACCATTTTTTACTGCAAGGAAGTGAAATCTGACGTGGCCCATCTCCGAAGTAAGTAATACGTAACTTTAATTATAACGTACGTATGTACCATATTAACAGCAGTCTTGCTCAACAAGTGTGTACATTGAACTTCACGCACATCTTTTGGATATCTCGGAATCACTTTTGTCGGTAATCAATAGAAGATGGCGTGGACAAGTAGAGCTTCGTTCCCGACTGTTTCCATGTTAACTAACAGTGTGTTATAGATGTTGTTGTTGTTGGTTTTTATGGCGTTTTCCATCGCCGCTGGATGGTTTTCGCCAGGCAATGTGAGAGGGCGTAGTTTCTGGTCCTCTAAGTTTCTAATAATGTCAGTCAAATGTTGGTAGTTATTTTCTATATTGTTATGTAGCTTGTTATTTTAAAGAATAAGGAAGGAAAGGATGAAGTGGTTGAATATTATAGTTGCGTTCAATTCATTATGTTAAGACGTTAGTTCTATAACGTTCGATCCTAAAACAAAAAGTGAATTATAATAATAACTATGATGCTAATAAATAATACAGCGAACCGTAATTTATACTCTATTTTATAGCTGAGCATCACAGACTTTGTTGTACCTTCCACTGCCTTTAAAAAAATGATTCCCAAAGAAGCGGGTAAGTCATTTGCAGAACTACTAGGAGATGTCTTACGTGACATACCTGACATATATCTGAATCACACATCCAAAACATTGCCGGACCACAATTAGGAAAAAGAAGAATGCATTAAAAAGGAAATCATTCTCGCGAAATGGCTCACGTGAGGGTAAGACAGCTTTTTATGATGCCGTGAAATACATGAGCTCCCTCAAAGGGGCGGATGAGTAAAAAAAGAAAACAAAAGACCGCATCCTTTTTAAGAAAAACAACATAATGAGAACTTCTTGTCTTTTCGAAAAGATCAGTAGAAGGAAAGTTGTCGACGGACAATTTCACTCACCCAAGCATATGTATTCACTGTCCTCTCTCATATATGATAAAGAGAAAAGTTTTGTTTCTGGATATCAATATAATGTATACATGTATCTTTCTTCAAGTCACCCTCAACAACTAATCTTGGATTAGCAGATTTTATATGACATCATAATTGATCATCTTTACTTTGCTTTAATGTACATGAAAATCAAATTAAATTACAATAAAGATGTGGCACAAAAACCTAGGTCCTGTACTGCATAACCACACAATAGGCAGGGTGCAATGAAAGAAAAACATTTTTCGATCGAAACATATTTAAGAGCTCAACAAAGACAAAAGAGACATGCATATTATACTGATTTACTACTATTTTTCTTTTAATTACGACCGTTAATATTATACAATTATACGATATCATTACTTATCTTCCTTATCAAATCCTTACATTTTCATCATTAATAATAATGTAATGTTTAGTTTTTATATAGCGCTTAAGTGCTTTACAAATATACCAAATAAGTTTCCTATATTATCATAACAGCATAATAGCAATGTTCGAGGGGGGGGGGGTAAATATATATATATTGAGTGCCACGTAACTGTCGCCTGACTCCCAATGGTGAGAGCAATGAGTTACAAACGGGGAAATTATGATAATAAAGATGCAGACTCTAAATAAGAGGTTCACTCTATTTGCGTTACAATTATGTCAACAAGAGCGTTCGGTAGGGACGAAATAATTATGGGTGCTTTTAGGCATACGTGAATAATTAAGTGTTTCCGAAGCATTAGATAAACAAGAAATCCTTATATTACCCCGGGTATGCACCATTTGAAATGGATTGTACAAAATAGATTTGTTGTTGTTGGTATAGTGGTTCATTAACTTGACTCTCAAGCCAAGGGTTGATGGTTCGAATCCAAGCCCGATACTAACATCCCTTGGCAAGACATGAATTCATATTTGCCACTCTCCACCCATGTGTAAATGGGTAATTGCTGGGGTAGTAATAATTACAGGGCCTCAGGAAGAACAGCATTGATGATAATTAGGCTTTCCTGGGTAAGCAAAATTGTTATTACCATTTTTATTATCAATATTATCATTAGAATTATAGATATTATTATAATTACTACCATTACTTTATTTTATTATCAATATTATTCTCATTATAATTAGTAGTAGTAATATAGTATTACTATCATTATCATTATTATTGTAATTACTTTTATTATTTATCATTATTATTAATATTACTTTTTAACATTATTATTACTATTCCTATAACTATTATTAGTATAACGTTATTGTTATTGTTATTATTATCATTATAATCAGCATTACTATTATCATTATTGATATCATTATCATCATCATCACCATCATCATCATTACGCATCAAGGGCTGTAATATATTTAACAAAAATGAAGTAGAAATAGGAGGAAGTAAAAGTTGAAGACGGGGAATAGGAGCCATCTTTTTTTTCTCTCATTTTTTTCTTCTTCATAATGTTTGATTGTATGATTATACTTGTGAATTTACTCGCCGGACCCCATGGGCCTAATGGGAGACCCACATAAATATGATCATATGGTTACTGTTCATGAATAAATATATAACATAATTATATAAATTACTCATCGTTGTTGTGTCTAATAGTATAATATCGTTACTATGGTGATAAAGACAATTAGTATTTCAATTTGTATGTTGGAAGCTTCTGGTTCTAATTTCGTAGGCTATACCTTATAATGCTTTTTATCTTTGTCATGGCAAGCTGTTACGATAATTAAATACAATTCCAGGATATATATTTATTTACAACTTAAAGGGGCAGTAAAGGAAATAATAATATTTCAACAACGAAAATATGAATCCGCATGTGGTTTTATTTTTTTACAATTTTTACGGTTCATCTCAATAATTTACATGTATTTTCACTTTTATACTTTAAAAACTATATCACATTTAAGTTTTATTCGATTTAAACTTTAGTTAATGGTTCCAAATAAAAATAAAGTCATGCACAACAAGCTTCGAAAAGTAATTAGTCCCTCGGATTGTGATTTCATAAGTATCATGTAAAAGAGAGGTATATCATGGTTGGCAAAATATATTTCGTATACCATAAAATGTAGTGCTTGTTAAGTAAATTGGGGAAAATTAGAAATGCACGTTCACGCATTATACTAAAACGCTCTTGGAGAAGTCACTGAAGTACTTCAAGAGAGTAACAAAGATACATGCATCATAATAGAGGCGTAAAGAAATAAGAATTCAATATACCATTTTCGTAACGTAAACAACTCTACCGGAGTGTTGGCTCAGTCAGTAGAGCGTCCGCCTCGACAACCGGGAAGTCGTGGGTTCGAACCCCGGCCGCGTCATACCAAAAGACATTTAAAAGATGGGAGTTGTTGCTACCTTGTTTGGCGTTCAACAGTAAGGGATAGACCAACGTCGATCTGGCGCTGCTCAGTGGCTGCCGGGCTCACGATCAAATGGGCAAAAAGAATTTCCGTTTCGGTTTAATAAAATTTGGAGTGGACTATTAGATTATTATTATTATTATTAATACATAAGTCTTTGTGAAGTGCCTCAATACAAGTTATTTCATTCACCTGATAAGAATAATGGTATTTCAGTAGTCAGAATGCAACTGCATATATATATATATATATATATATAAGTGTTGCTAGGTAGGTCAAGCAATAATGTTTGTCATACCTGGCGACAACTAATGTATGCAGTTCGGATTCTGTCTCTTGAAATACTATTATTCTTAACAGGTGAATGAAATAATTTGTATTGAGGCGCTTCACAAAGACGTATGCATTACATTTGGTTACATTACGAAAATGGACTATTGCAATGTATATATTATATATTTCAATATGTATCATGTACTTTAAAAATGGATATTTGTTACGCTCACATGTGAAATAATTTGCTAAAAACAGAAATAGGATACAAAACATGGATATGTGGTGATGACAAAATAATAAGTGTACATAATAATGATATTCGTTTGGTTATGGCAGGGAGATGGGAGGAAGTGTATTTATGTATATCTTTATACATTTCTTGCGGATTGTATTTCTTCAGGGTAATTACACTTTACTCAGGATCGGGACTTAAATTTACTTCAAAATTCAACACTTTTCTGAAGAATTGTGTCAAGTGCTTCAATTTAGGGATAATAAAATAATTATATTTAAGGAACTCCACCGGCAATTTCTTATGTATCTTACCATGGATTGGGAGCGCGATCACTCGAATATACATATATTTATAACTGTATATATACATTTTGAGAAGAAACAAATCATGAAACAAAATATAACAAAGTAATTTTTGAATGGGTTTGAATGAGGTTGGGGGGGGGGGGGCTTTTCTCAGGGTATTATGTCCCCTCCCCCACCAGTAAAAACCCGTGTTTGAAGCCATTATGCCTTACTAATACTTTCAGCGCTATTATATTGTTTCACTACCTTTCATTATTTTTTTGTTTGGGTTTTTTAAAACATTTTTTTTTTTAATAACTGAATAACAGACTGCTTTTTCAATCAAAGACCTACCTCTCTGTAATAATTTAAACAAGAGATGGCGCTAGACCCGTTCGCTCAAAGGGTTTGCTTAACTTCGAGACAATGTTCACGTGTGTCACAAGCCGGTAGGGCCTATGAGTTTTTAATCCAGGAAAGTAAAATTACAAGAAATCAGAAATGGAAACCGATGAGGTGGAAAAGGATGCTGCTAATGCAGCTCCTAAAGCCAAGGAACATGCTCTTATTGCTGCGGATTTAGAGAAAGTTACAGACTATGCAGAAGAAAACGTCATATCGGGCCAAGATATGAGCAATGTAAGTTTTTCAGTCCCATATGAGTCATTTTATGTTGTGTTTGAACAAAGTCAACCTAAAACAAGACAGTCATAACTTTATCCGGCTACTACGGAGATCTTCTCTGATCTTCCTACTATAAACCGTTCCACGAAGAGCTTACTAGCTAGACATCTGGTGAAATCGATACTATCGGCGAAAAGAGGGGCCAAGACAAACTAGTGATAGATCTAGATAGATCTAGGCCTAGACTTTCGTCTAGACATAGTCTGTTAAAAATAATAATATAGACTAAGCATCTACACTCAGTAATAAATCCAACAGGCTAAACCTAGAAGCAGTGACCGGGAATTACAGGCCAACGCCTTCTTTCCGTACCAGATGATGATGATGGTGTGTGTGTGTGTAGACTCTATTTGGGTTTTTACAGATGTGTATCAATCAGATATGATTATTTACTTCTGGGGACCGACCTTTAGTTGCTGAAAAGGCTTTTGACGAGTACCAGCATAGACGTAATGTCACCATCCGAAATACGTGACTCAGTTTCTCAGCGTCCTCGGCTGAATCAGTTTGTAACTTTCACTTTTTAGCTGGATTACAGGCGCACGCCACAACGCCTAGCTACCGGATTAAAAAAAAAGGCAGGGCGCTTGTTCAGAAACCTAACCAAAATTTGACCCGTAACTCCGGCATGAAGATACCCTTCTGAAACATACCCAAAATGAAGTAAATATTCATTAAATGTCCAAATAGAGATCATGAGTTAAAAAAAGGTGAAGTGTTTATTACCTGTTTCGTGTCAATTTTCTTGTTATTTTTGGAGTATTTTTCGGAAAAAACGTTGACATTAGTATACGATTTTTCACAGGTTTCATGGCAAACCGCTACACAATACAAGTGCATACCGATGGTGGGTTGCGGGCGGGTGCGCGCCTGTGCAAAGTTATCTACCATAATGTCTCAGATCCTCAAATATTTTAATGACAAAATTTTAACATTCCAAACGTTAAAACACGTCAGTTTACACATCTGAAGATAGAATTTATCTCGAAATGAATATAGACTAGGTTTGAAAACTAGAGAATACACTTCTGACTATGCTTGCCTACCATGGCAGACTACCCATCCCTTCAAGGATATTACAATGTGGAAATAAAGTCACGTGTACTATAATGATAATCAAAAGTGGAAAAAGCCTTAGAAATTCAAACAGTGCATATTTCAACTTTATAGGCATATTGCTAATGAAATAAATTAAGAAGGCTGCTGTAAATTTATGACAAGTGATTTCCAAGTCTTGCATTTAGTGTGTAGCAACTAGTAGTAGATCCATTACATTTATAAAACTTAAGTTTGTATAACTTATTTGTATCATGTATTTTAATTTATCTCACAAATAGGCAATTGCAGCATTGGGTGGTGACAGAACAAAAGAACAAGTAGAAAAAGCAGAAAGGTAAGGCAATGCTGTATTGGTGTGCTCATTTTGAGAGATGAATTGAGCATTTTTTATCAATCATAATGTGCTTATGAATGTCATTTTCAAATTATATATTAAAGATACTATGTCCAATTTGTAGGCCAAAAAAATGAAAAGGTTAAATTCCAACGTCATTTAAAAGATACTAATTTAAAACAAAAGGGCTTGAAAATAATTTAAATACCAGAACACTGCCAATGTCAAGTTTCACAGACAGGACATACGCAGAGTTGCCAACCTTTTTTTACAGAATGATTCAGTCTTTTTCCTCCAAATTACAGTCGAAAGTTTTTTCAGCATAAAATATGTTTTTTAAAAGAATTTTTATATATTTTTTTTTATTATGATTTTTTTTTTACATACCGCATGTCAAAAAACTGACAAAAAATGTTGATTTGATCACAAATTCAATAGAAAACTAAGGTTAAAACATACTTGAAGAAAAAAATATTCTCAAAAAGAATGAAATGCTGATAATACCAAATAACAAAATAAAAATACATACTTGTAAATAAACTATAGTTCCTAATATGGAAAAAACAGCATGAGGAATGGACATTTTGCATCGGAGGTGTGTCACGTGTGGTTGTAAGTTTTGTTTTAATGATTTCTTTTATTTGCTTAAAATTCCTTTTTTTTTTGCCATCAAGGTTCCTTTTTTTGGGTCGCACAAGGGGGGCACAAGGTTGGCAGCTCTGCATACGTTACATATTGATAATTCCTGCAAAGCTCTACAGAATTTGATGTTGGTTCATGGTTGTAAAATAACTTCTAATGAGTAACATTTTTTTTTCTACAGAGAAAAGGAGCTGGCCAAGGTGACCATAAAGAAAGCTGATGTTGACTTAATAGTGAGTATAATTATAAGCTGTGCTTATTGTGAATTGATTAATGAAACCTCTGTTCCATATGACTTTTATTCATGAAATCTTTAATACCTGCTCATATTGAATGAAAGCTTTTTTGTACAGGCTTAAATTTTCAAATTATGAGGCTTTGGTCATATTTTAAAGTTAGCCCTCTCAGGTTCAGTAAATGATTGTATAAGAGAGAAGTATCTAATAGTTCATTAATGTGCTGAAATATCTCTTCTTCTCCTCTTCTTAGCCTTCGTCTTCTTCTTCTTCTTCTTCTCCTTCTCCTTCTCCTTCTCCTTCTCCTTCTCCTTCTCCTTCTCCTTCTCCTTCTTCTTCTTCTTCTTCTTCTTCTTCTTTTTCTTCTTCTTCTCCTTCTTCTTTTTCTTCTTCTATGATCATCTAAATGTTTAATTATTTTTAATTATTCTTTTACTGATTTCACCCCTTGTTATAATTGTTTTTCATACTGTTTTATTTATGACCAGATCCAAGAAATGGAAATCTCCAGATCAGAAGCAGAGAGAAGTCTGAGGGAAAACAAAGGAGATCCAGTTCAGGCATTGCTTCAACTAGTCAACTGAACTACAAGATTATAAATGAACTGTTGATCTAGCTTTTGTGTGTACATGACATGAAATGATGGAAAGGAAAGTCCAAACTATGTACCACTGTTCTGGTCTCCTGACAAAGGCCTCAGCAAGAATTCCTTGGTCTATTTGTTAATAGATCCTGGGACCAAACATCATATTTAAACCTAAACTTATTCCCAATTGCAAGTTGCAAACTTACCCCTAACCATATTTCTTTGACAAGATAAAGCCAAGAGCGATTGGCTGATCACCACTATGCGAGAAGATGATAAACATGATGAAGAACAATGGACACACACAAAGCATTCTCAATTGGCATAGACCACTCATACATGTAGATAGAACATGGTACAAATAACCCAAAATCTTTTAAACATGGAGAAGTCCCACTCTGTGCATTCAGAATAATCACTGTTAAAGTGATGGAGTTGCTGCATGAATACTTTTGTTTGCCCACTTGAAAAGAATGCATCACCTGTGTGTCAAACAATGTATAGCTGGTGCATAAATGAATAATGATTACGGTACATAACTTTAAGTTTAATGACCACAATGATCTCCATTATTCATCTCGATGAGTTTTACAATTTTGTACAAATTACCATTTTCTGCCCATACGCAAATACATGTACAACTGTACATGTAGTATCTGCAAAGTACAAACTAGTTTATACTGTCAACTGTCCCAGATTGACTCTAAGTGTAGACTGAAAATTCTGCCCCCAAAGCAAATCTTTTCCCTTTTTTCCCTTTTTTCCCTTCCTTATTGATTAGACAGACCTTGGTTTGGAATATTCAACAGGGCCTTGTAAGTGAAGTTAAGGATTTACTTCAAATTTAAGTACCTAATGTAATTTGTAAATCTCTGTTTCAAATTTGATTTGTTAATGCCACTGCACACATTATGGCAGGGCCGACCAGATTTTGGAAGAAATGTCAATTGGATGAGATCTGATGATCAATTGTAAATCTTTTCCGATCAAGGTTTGACATCACTACCGAGAATGGAAGACCAACTATTCATGTTTTCTACCCAATTGATTTTGCTATATTTTACAAATTTAGTTCTCTAATGTTTATAATTGGTGATCAAATCCTTTTCCAATTTCTTCCAAAAATGTCCTGAATGTGTAACTAGGCAGATTGTCTGAATTCTTCACTGAATGACAATTTTCGTCCCTCATGTAATAGGAAACCTGTATGATGCAATACATATTTTAATACATGTATAAGTTATTATTATTAATTCCCTTTTTTTTGTGTCAAGTGATGTTTTTTAAATAAAATTTGCTTTGTATCAAGGACAATTTTGCATTCTGTTGTGCACAAGTTTGTTTGGGGCAGAGCAAAGAGAGATGTGGAAATCTGAGATAGTGAAAACTACACGTTTCCTTTGCATGATTCAGACCTGATAGAAACTCAATTTAAATCAGTTTCCCCCGATTAAAAAAAAAAAAATCCCTGATTTTCCCTTATTTTCTCTATTATTCCCTATTTTTTACCTATTATTTCCCAATTTTTCTTACCGGTACTCAAAAGGGGGGGAATGTTGTTAGATGCCATCCCCCCCCCGAATCCTCTTCTTTTTTTTTTTTTACTCGAGGGGGGCGTGGTTGAGGGAAAAGAGCTCACTATCGCCCCTGATGATTAGATGTTGTATTGCCCTTTTGCGAACCGACTCAAAAATCTTGAAATCTACGGTCTGCTTTAAATTTTTTTATTTTACCGTTTTTTAGAGAGAAAAAATGTATCAAAGCAAAAAACTGATAAATATCAGCTCCCCAAAAAAGATTCCCACCCATCGACCCATGTTCTGGCACCTAAAGGGCAATACAACATCTTTTTGTTTAGGCCTAATGTACGTACACATGTAAGGGCTTTTCACCCCCCCCCCCCCCCAAGTACTATACCTATATTACAAGGTCTTGCATAACCTTAAGGTCCCGAACATGAATTATATGTAAAGCATTTCACTACGGCTTTGTGACATTTTCTCTTTGCAGACATCTATTACAAGAACTTTGATACATACATGTACCTTTCATCTCTGCCATTTAACCGCCCCCCCCCCCCCACCCTGAAACTCACCGTCTCCCTATTTATTTCCTTCTCTCAATCTTTCTCTCTCACGAACTGAAATGCAATGATAGAGTTTAGACTTCTAATTAAACTTGAAAACTTCAAGTACCCTTTCACTTCACATCTCCAACATAAAATAGAATAATACACTTACACACATACACATAAAATTAATGAAAAATAAATGCTTCCATTGTCTTTTAAAATCTGATTTAATAATCTGATAACGTAACTCTTCTACAACTTTGGTACAGAGTTGTACAAATGTATGCATCTCTACAACTTGCAGTATCACACACAGAGGTACCATACAAGTAAAAGTATGCATTGTAATGATAAAAATCTTCAAAGATGCCTTTTAGACATTCTGGGTAATATTAGAGGGCTTTGAAAGCTCCACCATTTGAATTATATTTTGGACCCCTACTACATGTACATATACATATAAAACTTTCTACATTAATATTTTAAACTGTTATTACAGTATAAACAAAAATGATAGTGTTGTTTTAATTTTATGTATAAAATAAGCTCATGTATTAATATTTTTGAGTTCACTATTTTGTTTCTTTCCCAGAAATCAGTTTCTCTTTTGAGAATTCAATGAATTGAAGAATTAGTACCAGATTGTATAAAGATAGTGTCAATAAGAATTAAGAAAATAGTCTTCATAGAAACCCTTATTATTTGTCATTTAAGATTTTTTCTTCAATCTTCAGTTCTTGGTTTATGAAAAAAGCTAACACTTTCTTGTAAAAGCAAGTAAGCAACCACGCATTAATGATGCAACAACTACATGTACATTGTATCCAAATTGCTGATCTAATAAAGATGGAATCCAGAAAAACATGGTACTACATGAATTTTCAAGAATTACTTTTTAGGTACAGTACTGTGCACTCTTGGGGTTCAGAAACTACACATGTGCGTACATGTACAAGCCTCCTCCCCCTAAAAACAACAACAACCAATATTACTTGTATTAGATAGATAGATAGATGTATATAAAGAAGAGAAAAGACGGGTATACTTATTTCAAATTGGCCATAACATGTGCAATAACTAATACATGTAAGATCCATGTAAGATCCGAGTAATATGTAGGGTATGAACTTTGAACTTTGGAAGAGTTTGAAATTGATTTTCATGATAGTAATTTCACCAAATATCTCAATTTAGTTCAATGCAGTGTTTCATTACACTGTATCGACCAAAAACTCTATTAAAACAAAGACACAAATAAGAATATTTAAAAAAGGTACAATATGAGTAAAGGTATACATATGTACAAGTAACTTGAGGAAAAATGTCAGGAGTACTGTTCACAATACATTGTCCCATCAATAATCATACGTTTTTCATAGAATTTTTTTAAAGCATTTTTATGAAAATTGAATTTAAAAAAGAAATGTGAATTTAAATGTAATGCATACTTAAAGCATGTCTCACAAAAAATCAACATAGGTTTCATATAATAATCTATAGGTAAATATTATTTCATATTTAAATGACAGAGCATACGAGGCAAAATTATGATAGTATCATACTTTATTTCAATAATGCTTCTCCTTATAGCTATTAGCTATGCATCTTGCTTACGGATAAACTTTTGTAAAGTTTCAACAAAGGCAGAGTATTCAACACAAATCCACATCACCATCGAAGGTGAAATTTTATCTTTGCAGCTGCACATGATGTCAATACAAATACATGTACTGCAAAACCAATCATGTTAACCGATCGGGCTGCATTGAAATTATAGTAAATTAGTAATGACATTGGTATAATTTTAAATTAGGTCTTCAGGCCAGAAATGGTCATCAAGGAAGGATGTCCTGAAATCTTGATCAGGGAAAGTTGATTGAAGTTCTTCCTCCCACTTATCCTCTACAAGCTTGTACAAATCCATGGCTGCTCTTGCATCTTCAACAGATGAATGTTCACCCCTTTGTACATCAATACCAAGCAGATATTTAGCAAGGGATTTGAGACCAAGATGCTGGCCTGGTGTGCACTTACTGCCGTATATTTCAGCCAATAACTTGCACTTGCTTGTGTCTCGGACATCATTTGGAGGATGGGCAAATTTGAGCGCTTGGAAGTCATTCCAAACTGCATGACCAATGACGATCTTATCTTTGAGAAGATTCTTGACTTGTTCCTGGGCTTCATTGAAAGGTATTGCATTGACCATGTTCCGGGGGCGGATTCCACTCCACTTAGTTCTGTAGTCTGTGATAGGCTCATCTGGTTTCACATAGCTATCATAAATGATCTCTCCACTGTGATCAATAATGCTGCATCTGGCTAGTGCAGCGAATCGTCCTTTGGGTCCCAATCCTACCATTTCACAGTCTATTGCAACAACTTCTCTATGACGATTACCTTTATCTTTTGAGGTAGTAGGTTTTTCATTTTTTGCACTATAAGGTTTATGTATGTTGCTGGACTCACGATATACTGTCATCTCTGATTTACCTACTATACCACGAGCTGATTCAGAATGACACATCACAGGATTCTTCTGTAGATTATCTCTACCACTTGCAACTGCTATATCAGATACTGGTAAGTAACGATTTATGCACATCTGCCTTTTCTTACTCAGACTGACATTCTGAAAGTGAACTCTCTTACCACTTTCTAGAATCCGAAATATCCTTCTAGGCAACGCCATTTTTTTCTTTCGTGCTTTCCCAGTACCAGTAGATTTGTGTGTTACTTTTAGTTTCAAATCAGTTGACTTAGCCATGGATGTATCTTGTGGCTGGTATGATGAAACAACAAAGGTCCTCAGATTTGCCTTTCGCATGCTCTTCCTTGGCAAAGTTTCTGCAAGAAAATGAAGATTGTGAATTAAACAAATTATACAAAGACTCTTAAGATTTGTACAGTATAGATCTGCAAAAAAAGAGGTGCCTGCACAAGGAGTTGCTAAAATTCAGCAAACTCTGTACATGGCACTGCAGGCATCATGGTATACATTAAACGAATTGCTATCCAGTATTATTGTACAGTAACTATCTAATCGGCAATGCCCAAAACAGGTGTTTTTTGTGTGTACACCGCATGTATTTGCATTTCAGGCAGAACCAACATCGCCAACTCTTAAGAAGTACGCATGCACGGTATGTGCTGCGCATGCATACTTTCTCTTCGCCATGTTGAATTGACGATATACATGTACAACATGGCCATGGGATGAATTTGGTTAAGAGGAATAAAGAAATTGTACACCCTTTTGTTGTCTGCACCTTCACCTGCTGTCACAACACATCCCATCCCAGTATAGCTTGGAAAAGCTGCTTCAGGGATTACCTCATCAAGTATCAAGTATCTCCCTTTAACTAGGGTGTCTGAAGGATTTTTCAATTTTCAATTTGGGATCGTTTTTCACCATTTTTGTTTGATATTTGAATTAAAAATGTAATCAGAACAATACATTTCAAATTTCAAGTCTCACCGATATTTCTATCAAAAGATACAGCCCCTCTGAAACGCTGTAATATTCATAGGATTTTGCTCAGAATCGACGAAAAAGACGTACACGCAGAGTTTAATATGTTGTTTTGCTAAATTTAGCCAAACGGCTGTATCGCGCAATATGCAAGCGTATGCATAGCGTACGCATGTAATGCGCAACTTGCAGCTTGAGCCACGCTGTCTCCGCGATATGTGCCATTGACTAGTATGGCTAGCCTTTCGCACCATAAAACCCGGAAGTGAATACACGTTATCGTCAATGGCAATATTGCGGAGACAACGTGCACATTGTCTCCGCGATATTGCCATTGACTATAACGTGTATTCACTTCCGGGGTTTATGGTGCTAACGGCTATCCATACTTTCATTCACTATACGTACAGATGTTACGCGATGTAACCATGGTTTGGACTGTGCGGAGCTCACGCCTCCCTAATTAGCCGATTCCAAAAATGTGGGAAGGGTATTTTCAAACTATTAGGCCAAATGATCCCTTGGGGCTAGCGAAAAAAAAAGCACCTGGATATTATCCTTACGGCTAGCCCTACTTAAGCCGCAGGGGCGCGGCTCAGGAAAGTGGCAACTTTTGGAGCTAGGATGCAAACAACATTTCAATCGCTGTTTTGACTTTTGACCACGATATTTTTAGAACTCTGGGGGTGGCCCCCTATGGGGAATATGGAGAAAAACCTGCCCTTTCATATGACACCACATTTATTGAGTTTCATCTTCAGGATCACGAGTAATTAAGGTTTCAATTTCAATTTCTTCATAAAATCATTGACCAATTTTGCATGGTCGCGTAATGCACGTAGACCACAGGGATGCGTGCAATCTCTATGGGAGGATTTTAGCACACATCGGGCGCGCGATCAGACTTCTTACCCTTCAAAGACTTCTCCAAATTATAACTTTAATTAGACCCTCTACTTCTTTACATTTCAAAAAAGTGTGACCCAACCCGCTGTTTGAATTGTTTTCCTATGCAGGCTACTGCAGGTGGAGTAAAAGATTATCAAGCCTTCAGTTTCAGTTTATTAAAAAACAACAGACATAGGTCTAGCAATCATGTGACGAACAAACATGATCCGAATTCGAATTGGGACCCAAAAAAGTTATGCTCGTTAGTGGGGCCCCTGGCCTGGGCCTGGAAAGGATGGACCTATCAATCCCGGCGGATTAGCAAAGAGACCATCTCACGCCCGCAGAGCCCCCAAAATAAGCAGGTCCTAAAATTGGTCTAGATAGCTAGAAATCTAGAGCCCGCCTGATCGAGAAGTTCATTTAGAGTAAAGGAGCCCGTTTTCGGCCACTTAAATCCTATTTTTAGGACTCTTTACTTCCTATTTATTATCATTTCTTGTTCAAATCATGAAGCAAATATTATTATTATTTAAACAAAAAAAGAATCCCAGAAAAAAATCACGAATTGCCATGACAATATTCATTTCAATTTTCACTGTTTTGGAGCCCGTCATCGGCCGAGCGTTTCAGTTTACGGCCGCATGTACAAAGTCAATAGGAAGCGCTCGCGCGCGCCGTGCGTTTCTGCGCTGATGTACAGCACAAGCGGGCGGAGCAGGTATCCCACGCCGGAGCTCCCTGGTGCTCGCCTGGCCGAAGACAGGCACAGCGGTGATCGGAAGTTGGAATCTGAATTAGACAGAGATATCGTGTGTGCGTCGCGGTGTGCGGCTGCATTGATTTAATACATGCGATGACATACTTTTGAGCTTGCGACTAGCACAAAATCGGGCTTTAAATCTGAAAAATACTTTAAATAAAGCTCATTTTATGGTACCCATATTTCTTACAGACACGCGTAAGTAGGCAAATTCATGCAAAAAAATATATTCAAAAAATTGACTTGAAAACACATCAGACAATTAGTCTGAACCGAGTCAGGAGCAGATTTGAAGAAATTATATTTTTATATGTTGTAAAACCAAAGATTTAAGAAGAAAACTGACCAAGTATCTGTACTAAAAATCGTACATGTAAAATTGGTCGTACACATTCGACAGCTGAAAATGATGCGCACGGTTGCGTTACGTGCGTTCTTGAATCCAAAATCATACCTCACACACACACTCTCGCCATACCGCGAATGGTCCGTCGTGGGGAGCTAGCCGGCTGAGAGTTTGCAGCGATACCAACGCAGCTTCGGAGCTCCGCAGCGCGCCATTTTAGCGGGACTCGGAAAGGTTCGTGGTGGGAAGGCAGCGGCCTAGCTTTTTGCCCAAACAACACAATACTCGCATGTTATTTCTACATAGATTAAACATAGGATGGTTAAGGGTCAGACCGGATAACATTATAAAAAAGATATATCCTTCCAACCTCCCATATCCAAGTTTTGGGCTGATTATTGCCGACCCACCGCAGCAAGGCCATTCAGATTTTCGTACGCGACCGAAGCGCCCTCTAGTGCCCCCTGAATGTGCCTAGCGTAAGATACTCGATTTTTCAGATTTGGGTAGCGGGACCGGCGATTACATCGCTAAAATGTGATATTTTACGATATATTTTCCATTGCAAATGTGGTTCTTCAGTGACACTGGCATGGTATGGTATATGTGTAGGATATGTGTTATGCTATTATGCGATGTATTTTAGAGTGATTTTACCTTGTATCCAACCAATCGGCCGAAAACTGGAGCTGGCCGATTACGGGCTCCTTTACTCTACAAAACATTGCTACACACACACACACACACACACAGAGAGGCTGACTGGCTAATTATTGCTATAATAATAGTACAGTAATAGTGGCAATCTATTTAACAAATATGATTTACACAAATGTCTGAGATAGAACATTGCTACACACACACACACACACACACACACAGAGAGGCTGACTGGCTAATTATTGCTATAATAATAGTACAGTAATAGTGGCAATCTATTTAACAAATATGATTTACACAAATGTCTGAGATAGAGTTTAGACTTGCATTTTACGCGACGTGGTGTAGCTAGTGTACCGGGTAAATGTCCTGTGCACTGATTCGAAAGGAATTCGGCTCAGTGCAATATTTCGCCTAGATCTAGATTCTACTTACTTTTTACTATAACCCGTGCACAACGATTTCGAGATCGCTATGCCCATCTGTAACTTAGATCTCCAGAAACAGCGGAAGTAAAACTTGAACCTAAAAACTAAAATGTCGAAGTTATTCAGTTATTCTTGGTTTATCACGTTGCACCCCGTTGCACGTTGCACCACTCTAACACTGCACTCCAGTGCAACCTTAACCACGTTGCGCAATATCAAGAATCGTGTCAACTCGACCAGCATATCTATCGCCTGTCATTAATCGTCCAGTCTCGCCAAATACGAACAATTCCTTGCAGACTTTAAAAAAAAGGAAAAAGATCTGCAATGATAACGTGAGATTTCCAAATACCCCTAAAAAATGTAATTTTTATAGACTGCTCATTAGCATTTATTAAGTGATATGATTTTGTATTTCAATTGTGTGGGTGAATGGGATGAACAATCACATTTTGGTCGAATTGTACGTTGACGAAATGATAGTTCCTCACTGCTATTTTGACCTCGTACTAATAAAACAAATTTGATTTAAAAGAAGAAAAACAAACAACAATAAAGAAAAGTTTTTAAAGAGTAATCAAAATATAATAAATCTGAATAAATAATACATAAAATAATAAAAAACTTATAATATATTATTGATACATTAAATGATCTTATCTAAAATATTGTGGCGAGTAGGAAAACATTATACCCGCTCTAATATACAAACTTAAATCTCTGTAGCTGGGACCGTGATTGCGTGAGGAAACATTTGCGACATGGCAGTAAGTAATATTATCTTTCATTCACATGTACAGTTTGTAACTTGCTGTTGGCTCAATATATAAACAGTGAGGCACATTCTTGAGTAATTTTCATTAGAGTCAGTGAGACGTAGATCTATTTGTTGGACCATTGTTATGAAATGTCTCGTGAATCTTCTCTGCCACCACGCCATGTTGTGCACCGGGGCGCTCCGGGCGCCTGACTTGGCTACAACCAGGTCACGTCGCGTCGGTGGCGCCGAGCGCGAGCCAGCGCCATTGCATGCCAGCTCGGCCTCTTCGCGTCAGCTGAGCTGAGGCTCAAGCTAGCTCAGCAGGCCTAGACCAAAAATTTCTGTCAGTTTCGTTCGTTAGCCGGCGCTAGTTTAGAAGTCTATCCAAAATTTGACCCGTAACTCCGGGTGTAGGGGTCTATACCCTACTCCCCTAGGATCTACTCTGACTCCTCCCTAAAAAGGAGCCGGTTTTCGGCCACTTAAGACAAAATCCTACTTTTTCAAGCGCGTAGCCAGGATTTTATTTTAGGGGGGGCGGTAGTGAGCACGCAAAGCATGCGAATCACTTAAAGAGCGTGCACAGCGCGCTCCCTAGGGGGGTGGGTGCAGGAAGGGGGGAATTTTCCCCCTCCCGCGCGAAGCGCGGAAGCTTTGAAAGAAGACGATTCGTTGTACCTTTCTCGACTCGCAATCCTTATCTGAATTCAGCCCCCTCCCTCTCCCTCCTCCTGCGCGAAGCGCGGAAGCTTTGACGTATTATTAGACAAAGAAGACGATTTGTTGTACCTTTCCCGACTCCTAATCCTTAATTTGAACTCAGTTTCCCCCTTTCTTCTTCTTCTTCAAGATAATCTGCCTCCTTCAATACTGAAGATTCTTGCAGATGCCGTATACTCGGCCTGATTGGGTGTGCAGGTGGACCATTACACCGAGGTTTCCCTCTACTCTTATACGAAAAGTGCAATGGGTTCTTAACGTGCAAGGGTGGTGACTCTCCTGTACACGGGGCCTCCACTTAACGTCCTATCCGAGGGACGAAAGCGCGGAAGCTTTCACGTTTCATTAAATTATTAGAGAAAGAAGATGATTCGTTGTACCGTTCTCGACTCCTTTTTCCTTTTTCTTCCTACTTCCTCTTACTTTTTTCTTCTCTTTCTCTCTCTTTTTTTTTTTGGCCGGCGTTTGGGGGGGGGGGCGACCGCCCCCACCGCCCCCCCCTGGCTATGCGCCTGTATTTTTTGGACCCTTTACTTCCTATCTATTTTCATTTTTTGTTCAAATCATGAAGCAAATATTATTATTATTTAAACAAAAAAAGAATCCCAGAAAAAAATCACGAATTGCCATGACAATATTCATTTCAATTTTCACTGTTTCGGAGTAAGTTTTCGGCCGCATGTACAAAGTCAATAGGAAGCGCGCGCACGCGCCGTGCGTTTCCGCGCTGATCTATAGCACTAGCGGACAGAGCAGATATCCCACGCCGGAGCTCCCCGGAGCTCGCCAGGCCGAAAACTAGTACTGCGGTGATCGGATATTGGAATCTGAATTAGACAGAGATATCGTGTGTGCGTTGCGGTGTGCGGCTGCATTGATTTAATACATGCGATGAGATACTTTTGAGCTTGCGACTAGCACAAAATCGGGCTCTAAATCTGAAAAATACTTTAAATAAAGCTCATTTTATGGTACCCATATTTCTTACAGACACGCGTAAGATACTCAATTTTTCAGATTCGGGTAGCGGGACCGCCGATTACATCGCTAAAATGTGATATTTTAGGATATATTTTTCATTGCAAATGTGGTTCTTCAGTGACACTGGCATGGTGTGGGATATGTGTTATGCTATTATGCGATGTATTTTAGAGGGATTTTACCTTGCATCCAACCAATCGGCCGAAAACTGGAGCTGGCCGATTACCATCTTCTTTACTCTATATCTAGACCAAGAACTAGATAGTTTATTCCTCAGGGGCCCGTTCCTAGAAACCGTCATAAGTCTAACTTCTTGACTATCCCATTGAAACGTGTGTTAATTCTATAACACACGTTTCAATGGGATAGTCAAGAAGTTAGACTTAAGACGGTTTCTAGGAACGGGCCCCAGCACTACACCCTGACTTATGGATCCTGCTGAGTATCGTCGTAGAAGTAGAAGTAGAAGTAGTCTATACTAGACTAGAAATTAAATCTAGAGTCTAGGTCTACTAAATTTGAAACATACCCCCGCCAGGCCGGCCCCCACACTCTGTCAACAGAGGGATACCATGCGTTTTACCAAAATGTCCGGTAAAGCGTAAAGGGGTACTTTTCACGCACCAAAGCAGGCTCGTAGTACACAAAATTCTGACCCGTATTGACTTTACACACTGGACTTAAAGGCTGTTTTCAAAATGAGGGAACGTGCATAGACTATCGTACCCTAAATAACACTGAGTGGGGGGGGGGGGGGGGAGGGGGCGGGTCAGGAACATACCCAAAATGAAGTACCGGTAGGCCGATTTTCATCAAATGTCCAAATAAATGATTAAAGGTTGATATGTTTTGTTACCTGTTTCGTGTCAATTTTCTTATCTTTTTCGGAGTATTTTTCCTAAAAAACGAAGGCTAATAATATGCACTTTAACAACATGTAGTTTAATTTCAACGAAGAAAATCTGGGAAAAAAAAACCTTCTATACGCACAATGCACAATTTGGGTATGTCCAAAGATTGGATCTTTACTGATGTCTGTGTGCATTCTGGATGATGATGAGTTACTAATGTCAGGTGACAACATTTTAATGAAAATAATACTTATATCAAATACTAACAAATACATGAACTTACATTTCAAATTTTGCACTATATTCTTTTGCATACCTGTAGTAGACTTCCAATTTCATTTATTGAACTTTTATGTCTTTGTCTAAACAGCAACAGGAGCAGCAGAAGAAAAAGAAGGAGAGTATCTTAGATTTGTCAAAATATATTGACAAGCAAATACGTGTCAAATTCCAAGGAGGCAGAGAAGGTGTGTATTATGAGCTTCATGTTTACTTTCAGTTTTCTATTAAGTCATCATGTTGTTACTCCATCATCCTCCTTATCACCATCATCCTCCTTATCACCACCATCACCATCACCACCATCACCATCACCATCACCACCACCACCACCACCACCATCACCACCATCATCATTATCATCATTCATGTCACAATTATTTGCTTATCATCATCATGCATCATAGTCAATTTAGTCATCAATCATCATCGATCCTCATCATCATCATCATCATATTTGTATTAATATATTTTTTTGTAGTGTTTGTATCATCTTCATCTCATAGCTAATTTTTTTTTTTCAACCTCTATCTAACCCTCCTCATTCTTTCTTTTTGAACGTATTCATCACCATTTTTTAAATCATTTTTGTAATTATTTCCTTTGATTTTGTAGCTCCTTTTTTTCTCTGTTCCGTTATTTGTTCATGACTTATTTTACTTTCCTTGTTTTTATGCAGTGACCGGGGTCCTGAAGGGATTTGATCCTCTCCTGAATTTGGTACTGGATGGAACAACAGAGTTTATGCGAGGTAGATATACTCTTCAGAGTATCAGAGTTCAGAGACTTTTTATTGGGGGGAGGGGGGGGGGGGGGGAGGAATCAGAAGGTATAATCTCAAGTCCATGTCCACCAGTTCTTGGCTTCTATTGGTGTTGAGTCCAGACTCCAGAGTTATCAATTAGAGTTGATTTGAATTGATAAAAATGTATGGATTGGACTGATGCCCAGATATACACTTGCTCTGTGTACATCAGAGACATGTAAGGGATTCTACTGGTATCTTTTATTATGCAACTGTCCTATATTTCTTCATACTTCTGAATGAACCACCTGTATTTTTTAGTTACAAACAGTTTGGGTGATAGGAATTTAGGAAATAGGAATTACCTTGTATAATTGAATAGTGCTTAGGAACTTAGTTAACATAGTTGTAGTGGAACCTTGTGGAATTACAAACAGTTTGGGTTAAAGGTATAGACCAGTTCTGGTCATGCGATTGCATTGTGAAAACAACGCTGTGGAATCAATCAAAAAAGGTTGATCATCTAGCATATAAGTATTGGTGTGTGCTGTAAGGTTCTGGAATCATCAAAATGATAAGAAATTTGGCCCAGTCTTGGTAAAGTTACAAGCACTGTACACAGAAAGATGTATATGGGACTACCCTATATCTATCCAGTCCAGATAGATATAATAATTTACCAAATATATCAATTAGTAGGCAGTTTCCCGGCAAAATTTGTATCATCACATATAACTCAAAACATATTATTTCACATGATTGGTAATAAGAGCTTCCATTTCATTTTTTGAAATGGAGGAGTTCCAAACTGGTCTTCACCTTTAAAGGAATTACCTTGTATAATTGGAACCTTGTTATCATAAGGCCTCAAAAACATTACAACACAAAGAGGTTAAACTGAGTAATTACATGTTCATAATGATAGTGGAGGTTAACGTTTCGTTAAAGGTACTATGTCCCATTTGCAGGCTAAAAAAATGTAAAACTTAAATTCCAACAGCATCTAAAATATAATACTAATTCAGAACTTCCCTCAAAACAAGGGGCTTGAAAATGTCTTTTTGTGGGAAAATAATGACTGTTAGTTGTTGAATCCAATTAGGGGTTGCAGTCGTTAAATTAAATAGTATGATTTTCTGACCCTTGTACCGAATGTTCTTTCAGTTTAATTTTGGCCATTACAAGAAGTGGGTTATTGATGTAGACAAATGCTCATGTACCCTTTACAGCTCATTTTATGCATGTTATCACTCGATAGGGTCTGACAGTGAAGTCTAGAAAGTAAACGGGTTTCCTTGCATAATTTGAATACTAAGACACTGCTAACGTTTAAAGGAGCTACACAAAGAAAATTCACTAAAAACTCATAATTAGAACAAATTACATATGGATGGAAAGATTTTCTCTTGAAAAACACGAACAATTTGCTGAGAAATCATATAGATATCATGGAAAGGTGTAAAATGCCATTTTCCAAGACCCTCCTTAGACCCCCGAACGCCCCTGAACGTAAGTCAAACACATAAGCATAGCAAGCTCTGAAAAGTGACGTCACACACTGGACAAACAGCTCAGTGACGTGTAGCAGTAAGCAGCTAGCCTGCCGTGTCCCGTACGTGACGTCACAAATACTGACGCTCAACAAAGGACCGCTGAAGACAGAAAATCTGGATCTCAAAACTAACATTTTTTAGAGTTAATTACTGCGGGCCCCAAACATATTTTGAAGAGAAGAGTTGTTGTATTTGATCGGCAAGGCTTCCCCTTCGCAATGATATGAGTTTTGCATAAATTTAAAACACTTATGATTCTTCGTGTGGCTACTTTAAATTTCATAGATGGGACATGCGTGACATATTCATAATTCCTGCAAAGTTCTACAGAATTTGATGTTTGCTGCAAAAGGGATACATACACTACCTGTAAGGAGCTTCCTTAAAATGAGTATAGTTGATAGATTTCCTTATGAGAATGATACATGTTCGACGGGTGTCACCATCTTTGTTAGTACAATTAATAACTATTGGATAAGATGCAATTATATCTCTGAATAATATCGTATTATTACCTAGATGCTTTGTTTTTCACTTTAGATCCAGATGACCCATTCAAGCTCACTGATGATACCAGGAACCTTGGTCTTGCAGTATGTAGAGGAACATCGGTGGTCCTTATATGTCCTGCGGAGGGAATGGAGCCTATAGCTAACCCTTTCGTTCAACAAGACGGGTGACACTGTAGGGGCTAGGAGATGTCTTGGGATGCTTGTCATTTTATATATTGGGGTTGGATTCTTGTACAGGAGGGTTGGGTTGATCTTTGTGTAAAAGCTCATTTCCTTTTCTTCAAAAGATAAAATAATGTTGGTTTGTATTATGCTTTTGATATATTGTTTTACAAAGTGATCACAGATTTCTACAATTTTATTCATTATTATCCCCCTGATTATTCAAGAATTTCTTGATGGTTATGTCAAGTCTCAGGCGTAAATTATGTTGTTTTTTTTTGTGTTTTGGAAGTATGTTAAAACTGAATGATTGTAGATGTTAAATCAGCTGACAACTTATCGCATCATTTCAAGTTTTATAGCCTCTATCATTGATAGAAAATGATGGAAGCAAGATTATAGTTTGAAATGCAAAACATGAATTATGCATGTAGGTACTCTTAACCAAATATGAAAGTGATGAGGAGACCATAGCATGTGGCATGGTTGTAATGGGGGTTGCTTTACACCTCCCTCTTGACATGCTGTTTTTAGAAGGGAATAAAGAGTGTTTATGTTTTGTTTATCCTCTAGGTACAAGAGACTGTTTACAGTATATAGCAGATTATCAGGGAACTATAATATTTTAGATATTCTCTGTAGGATTTCATGGGGAGTGAGTATTCACAATTGGAGGTTTTCATTAACCATGTGTGGTAGCCTTATTAAGAAAGCTGTTGATATCTTCTTTTGTCAAGATAACCTGCTTATGGTGCGTAGAGGAATGGGGAAAAGGTCAAGGAAAGAGAAAGAAAAAGGAAAAAGTTGGTAATGGATTTAAGTTTTGTATTAGACACACACAGAAGACTGTTTTGGCTTTCTTCTGTTCAGTTTTGTATACCAAAATGAAAGTCCTTGAGTTGTTGAAGTGTGAATGATGTAGTTCCAAAAAGAACTGTTGGTATTCCTCTTAGAATTGTTTTAAAAGAGAATTCCAAAGTACAGTGCTCTTCCCCTTACCACAGAGTAAAATAACTTGCTCCAAGAAGTTTGACCCTCTTAAAAGCCTGTTACTTAATAGGCCATTTTCATAATGTAACAAATTTTGTGAACCACCTCGATACAAATTATTTAATTAACCCTTTACAAATAAATGTATCTCAATATTCAAATTCAAATTGCATACATAGTAGTTGCTAGGTAGGACAAACATTTGATTCCATTAAGAAAACGGCCTATTCAGTTCTGCGTTGAAGATTTATTGAGGAATGGCTTATTTTTCAAAAGGAATGACAAACAGCTGGCCTATAACCTGACATTTCAGAAAGGATAGAGTCAGACTTATTCTCTGTAATGAATATACCTCCCTCTATTGTCTCTGTTGCTGTTATGTGATTATAGTACACGTACCTGTAAATTGATTTCCCATAACCATGTGTGGCTGTTAACAGGACAGAAACAAACTCATTCTACACTATGGCTATGTCTCCCTCTATTCTCAGTATTAGTGTCATCCCACAAAGTGCAGGGTGTAGGCCCAGTGGTTAAATGTTTTGTGTACCTACAGCTGTTTTTGCTGTATGACAGTTATTCTTAACATTATGTTAATTCATGAATATGCAATTTGTGTATAACAGTTCCAATACAGGAAATAATTGTTTTACGAATTTGTGATGAGATCACAAACATCACATGGTGAAAATGTTGTACAGTAAAAACTTCAAGGAAAGGTAAAAGAAAGAAAGGATATATTGTGGTAGAGCTCGAAGTGCAGAAAGGGCAGTCATTTTCTTTTCAATTCTATAACAGTATTCTGTTTGTGGATTATGTTTTAAAAACCATTACACAATGCGAATATAATTTGCATTGTTGTCGTTGGATGATTTTCGTCATAGCTTTGTTTTAAAACCTGAATGTAAGCATTGTTTGAAGTACTCATTGATTTAGTTTACTAGGTTTTGATACTATCATTTAGAATGCTAACTTGACTTTAACTGATTCAAACAACTTGATTTGAAATCTAATGGAAGTAGACTCATTTTTTATTTAAATGTATCAGAAAATACAAATGTACTTGTGAATAATACAGGAGAAATAAAATTTAAACTAGTAATGTTTTCTCTTGCTATACCCTTCTTTGTCTGTACAACATATGTTCACAAAAGCAGAAGCAGAGATCTGGATGGACCATTCTATTACGTTTCTTTCTTAATAAAACATATAAAGACCATGTATAATTTTAATCTCTTTTTTTACTCTGTCAGAATGAAATGATGAGGGAATTAGATGAGAATGAGACTAGAGAATATATGCAGAGAGAGAGAGATGAGATGAGAAGGTTACAGCTTCATAGTTTGCAGTATGAGTAAGGTATAAAGGAAAGGGTCTCAAAGAAAATGTTGACAGAATTGCATTGTTTTTCGGGCTAGCAGGGTTGCATGTAAAGTGAAAATGATTTGGGGCGTATGATCTCTAATAGTTGGCCTGTAAATATAACGGTAATTATGAAAATTCATTTCACGTTCTTCATATTTCTTGCAGTGTATCTGTGTTTTACAGTTAATAGTGGTCTACCAAATGTTGTCCTGAAGTAAAATTTACCTTTGACAATTGTTGGATTGGAATGACTTAACCCCTGCTGGAAACGTATAGTTTTTAACAAAAGTTATGAAACTCAAAATACCTCCATAGCAACATGAAATTCCACATTATAAATGATGGCAGTTATACATACTAGTAGAAGAATGATTTAATACTCTGGTATAGATCATCCAAGGCCAACTAATTTGCTCTGTAAGTCCCCCCCCCCCCTGAACCATATATTGAACTGGTCCATTATCCTCCTACTCGGTGTCATCAGGTTTGCTAAGTGCAGATGTGCACAGAGAGTGAGTAGAGGAAGTCAAGAACTTCCTCTCCTGAATGACAAAAATCCCTATGGCAACTGGGTAATAATCAGATTGACCTCCTATCCATGACGACATGTCGCGCGACCCCTCCATATCATGCCAAATCCAGCACGGAAATACAAACCTCACCAAAATTTGCCATTTCCCTTTTGAATCGGCACCGCTCTCTGCTTTCCACTTCCCCCATTCCCCTCACTAGTCCGCAAAAACCATGATGTCCCTGACAAATTGGCAAACAGAAAATGACTCTGCATACCCCAAGCACCCCCATGGTTTCGAAAAAGTGCTTGAGTGCAACCATATATGGCACAGATTATGCAAATGTATTTGGTCTGAGGGGAGTTGTGATGACTAGTGTACTGTTGAATGGAACCAGCACTTAGCACATGAAGGATGTGCTAATTCAACTCACTTCCTTTCGGATATACAATGGTAGGGCTAAGCTCCTACTTGTACATCTACAGAAATTTTGCATATTCATGTACTTTCTCAAAACTCTTCTCCATGATATATTTTTCTATTTGTGTAATTTTGACGGTCTATAAACTTACTCTCAACTCCTATCTTCTTTCATTTTTCATTTTCATTTTCAGCTTTAATAAACCAGAAGTGTTTCCCACCATTGAACATTTAGACTAAATAATAAATTAAATGGACTAGTAGGCCTACATGCATTATGAAACCAAAGGAATAACAGCATAGTAGATCTCTTTAAGAGTTACCCTTTTCTATTCAGTCTTACATAACTCAAATTTTGCATTGAACATCAAAATAATAATTCCAAAAATTATTATTGCGCATATAATCTACTTTGTTTTAAGGCGAGGTGGAAGCTAGGGGGTGACCAGCCAAGCTACCTCATATCAGTGACATGTTTAATTCAAGGTTTCAGGGCTGAATGACATATAAACAAGAGAAGGAAGCAAACATTACACAAAGGGAAGAGGAAGCAAGGAATAGATTGTAAATTAACCATTCACCAGACACTTGTGAGTCAGATTACATATAACAAAGGACCATTAAACCCATCACAGATTGTGAAACCTCTGCAATTTCTCATAATTGCACTCAGTGGATATTAATCATCAGAACTGCACGTCTTTTTTTATATTATTTCCTGTTTTTAACTTATATATTTATTTTGAAGTACTTAATAGCAAAGTGTGACTATTCATTTTAAAACAAAACACGTGGTAGAGGATGTGGGTATTTTTGGTCTTTACTTAATTCAGAATTATTGGTTATGACCAATCTTGACTTGATGACTGTTATAATCATAAGAACAAAGTCATTTAATATGATTGTGAATGCCACATGAATGTGACATCATTACATAATTGCTTAATTCTTCCAGATTGAATAGTTACATCAATCATTTACAATTAGAATATTATCATATTCTCTTCAGATTCCAACGTCCATCCAATTTCTTCAGAGTTGTACATTGTGCCATGCTTCCACACTGGCTTCACAAAAAAAAAATTGAATGAATAAATGAATGGATAATAAACAAATATTGTATAAATAAGTGAATTGATAAATAATAAATAATAATAAAATAAATAAGTAACTGATAAGTGAATGAATAAATAAAATAAATAACTAAATAACTTACCCCCAAAAAATAAAAAATAATAAGTAATATATATATATATATATATATATATATATATATATGTTATAATGTCTAATGACTATTTTTAGACATCATTGTTTATAATTAGCATTAAAGGACTTGTTAGTTATCTTGCTGCGAGCTAGGTTGGAACAGGACAAAGAAATGCAGACCAAACAAGTCTCAATCATTCATTTGTTCCACCCTTATTCCCAGACTAATATCCATTACATCAATTTCCTTCGCTCAAAGACAAAACCAACCTTTCAGTCTTTAACTCAACTATCAGCAGACCCATCCTGAAGACCATTCATTGGTTTTCAAACATGAATACAGAACTATCTATACTATGTGACACATTCCACTCTCTTTTACATTCTAAATAATTGCACAGGGGAGAGATGTTCATTGACTTGATTCAAAATATTATTGCATTCAAACAAAAAACCAAGAAAAGCAGCTTAGTACAGAAACAAATGAACCTTTTGACAGTACAACAAAAACCTACACCTACATGGACAAAATAATCTACTTACATAATAATTGTATGACACTAATGCAGAAAAGCAATCTTAACATGATGACAAGCCTCGGAAAATGGAATTAAATGGAAATTAAAAACATAACAAATAATGCAAGGGATTTATGTCATCAATCATAAAGACTTTTCAAAAATGAGGACTTAACAAAGATCAATTTTGAAAGCTTTGGAAAGAAATTCAATTTGCAGGAAGAATCAGACAAAGTAAAACACATTTAGAATCCAGAAGGTTTTGCTCTTTTCTTCTTTTATTAATTAAAGTAAAATTTGGAATAGATGCATTGTTTACTTGTTATGATCTTGGCAAGGAGACATTCATGGATTAATAACAAATATTCCATTTTTAATGTGGTCCTCATGATTTGTCAATGTTATAGACACAACCATCAAATTAATTTAATTACATTATTCTTCAGTCACTATTTTCATGAGAATGATTTTATGAAAACATTATTAACTAGATTTTATTGATTCTATTGGAAATATCAATTGGTCACTTGGTTGCTATTCTCCATTCAGAATGTACCATCTACTTCAAAAGATGTGAAAGAAAATACAACATAACCCTACACCAAAAATATCATACAAGTAATTGAATATACACATACAACTGGTGCTGTATATGGACTGCAGAAGGTCACATGTAAATGTAGTTTGGATATCTGGCACAATGTACAAACTGTACATGTCAATGGCATATTGCAATTTCAAACATTTCTCAAAAAGCCAAACTATACACAATATGACCTTCTTGTTCCCATGCATTATTTTCTTGCAAATTATTCATACATCAATCAAAGCTGACTCTTTATACACATATCTCCACACTAAATTATAATATATAATATTTTGCCTATCTCTTTTTGTTTCTTGGTTGCAGTAAGTACACTTAAACATCATTTACAGATATATATACGATTACAACTGGTGCTAAAGATAAATTTTAAAATTTCTCTTCATTCGATTCCAAGATCATCAATGATATATTATATATTTACAAATGCCAAGCAAAACAATATGAAAAGATAAATATACAAAAGTAGAAATGAGCAATGAATAGACAATCATTGTCATGAGATGTTAGAATTAAAAAAAAGTCTTCTTTTCTTCCTGATAAGACCCAACGACAACAATCCCTGGCACATCAATATGGCAACCAGTATCTTACAGGGAGGTAAGGAATCATGAAGGTGCTAAATCATAGACAGAAAAATTAGTCGGCCCGAGAAGTTTTAATGACATATTTTTTTAATTTTATGCTCTTCACATGTAGAAGATTCCATGAAGCCAGACCAACAAGACATAGTCTCAGCAGAACACATCTCCAAATGAAATAGACTGGTTTTCATTCTAGCTTTGTTAGTGCTTACTGGGAGAACAAAGTATGATTGCAGGTTGTGATGGAGTGCAGTGGACACCCATCGGTTTCAATGATTAAGCTTACTTCAAAGATTTGATCGACTGCTCCCCAAATATCCTTTAATTGATATGGCTCCTAAAGTTCTGTAATGTGGCACAACATATCAGTCGTCATAACCAATGAATTGGTGTCAATCAAACTTGAGCATCAAACCATTATTTCAGTCAGAATCATAAAAATATGTTTTGTTCAGTTTCTTTATAGAAACATTGACAAAGATGGATTACATGTCTTGTGCCATATTCCTGGGAGGCTGTAATAAGTCATTGAAATATATTATAAGTTTTAATAATGATGAGAAAAATCTATTTTTGACATAGGATGATATAAAGCAAGAATGATTGCCATAACAAAAATAGTCCCATGACTCCCATTACTAGTCCCACCAACATCTTGACTTGAACGTGACAAGTTCTTTAGTTAACAAATTGTTATGTGCAAGAATGAACAGACTTCCTTGCACAGTATTGGCCGCTATGACCAGTTTCCTTTGAAAAAAATGGACAGGAAGGGGTTGATCAGCAATTATTTATAAACAATGACATACATGTACATGTATACAGAGATTAATCCCCATTTAGATTACCTACCAGTACATTTCTTCATATGGCTATAAATAAGATAATTGTACAGCTATGCAATACATGGATGTTGTTCTCTTGCAGTCTGAACGTCGTATAACTAAACGAACATTTTGTAACAAGGTAGGGCATATTATGAGTGAGCACTGTGCACTGATGATTGGCTAGCTGTCATGTCAACTGACCTTTGCAAAACTAGTTTCTCTATACAATGTTATCCAACCACTCCCCTTTTGCTATACGTCGTTCTTTAAGGGGTTTCGTTTATATTCCAGTAGTCTAAACAGGATATCAAAAATTCATTGCTGTAATGACTTCTGTACCATTTTTAAGTGACTGGCAATTCTAAAAATAACCTTTCACCGCTGAGAACCAAGGAGTATGAACACAAAGAAAAAGCAATTAATCATCAAGTTGATTTGAGATATCAAAACTATAGATATGTTCTTTTGAAGAAATTAATTTCTTTATCTTACTGTATTGGATTTGTATGTCAATACACTTCTCACAAAAGGCATCTCATAATATTCCACAGGCTGAATTATTTGTGAATAACACAAAAATGGAGAGCCATATTATTTCAATTAACTCAATACCTCAGCGTTTGATTTTCTAGAAAACAGCATAAAAAACATAAATGATTTGAAAGAACAAAGTATGTACACATAAAGTCCTCCTCTCTCGCATATGACAAGAGTTCAAATTAAAAACAACCCGTGTTAACCAGTCTCTACTAAATTGATCAAAGGAAGCATCAAGATTGCAAAATAATTGCGACAGAAACAATTACAAGAATATAGAGCAATATGATCTCATAGCCATGAGTTGGCATTACTTTCACTTTCCGCAAAGATTGGCTAATCAAAATCGACCATGTGGCAATGTATTATTCAAGCGCGATAAAGGTGAAACCAATAAATTAGCTCATTCAAATAAATTCAATTTCACAAACATGCCTAATTGGTTCAAGATTTGATTATCATGTGTACAATAAAATTTAATTTCCTGATTGAAAAGATATATATTTCAAAGGTTTTCCATATTTCATATTGAAAAAAAAAGTTATTTGAAATAGAAATCACTGGAAGCACTATTGATCAACTACAACTGATTTAATATTTATTTATTTTTCATAATAAAATGTCACTTTACAATGAAAATAGATTTGTATGAAAGTGGAAGTATCTGATATTTTGTAAAACATTACGTCTGCATCAATTTATATACCGCTATACAAACATTTTCAAAATTTCAAAATAATCAAAGGGAGATTAATACATGTATAAATTTTCAATGAGACCTTGAATGATTTTGTACGAGTCAAAAGTTCATGTAAAAGAGACAGATTTGTGTGCATGAGAAGCTCATACCAAGAAAACTTGACATAACTAATAGGGAATGAAAGACATTCAATAACAATAGACATGAGTGACCTTTGACATTAGAACAAGAAGGAAGAAATGTTAAAGGTGAAATGTACTCATTTGTAGTGTTTGGTAAGCATCACATACATGTACATGTACAAAGAGAAGGAAGATCTTCAAGGAAACCATACAGATCAAGCATTAATTGCAATCACAGGAGCTACATGCACAGCAGATAACATAATCCAACACTATTCTAGCTTCTAGTATGTGTACATGTAGCTGTGGTATTCGTCATTTCAAAATGTCATAATGGAAGAAAATCAAAGGCATATTTGCCAGTATTCTACTAATTCAAATCTGACGCTGTGTTTCTGTTTCTGTCTAAACACGGATGCAACAAAAGAAGTTATTCTAAAGGTCCAAGTTTTCCTTTTGATGAACGTGATATTAAACCCAGAGTTGAGTGTAACTGAATTAGCAGAAAATGGACCATTGTCTTTTTAGAACGATGACAGAGAATAAACGTCAAACTATTCAGATATCAATAGTTAATTACTTTCACATTTACACGCTTCTTCCTTCAAATGATAATATCAGTCTTGCTATATAGATACATATCATTTCTAGCAATGAATCAAGAATTTGATATTTTCCCTTAGCATTTACTCGTTGTCTGGTAGACTCTGAATTAGGTGAGGCAATATCATATTCTTGTAATGGCTATATATATTATGTTAATAATCTCTTCTTTTATTTTCTTTGTAAAGAAACAAGAATGATGGTATTACATATGTTCAGTTAATTCTGCTGGTATTCTTGATTCAAGTGAGGCTCCTGTTTCAATGCTTCTTTTCCTCTCGGTTAGCTTGATCCAACTAGAAAGCCACTGATGCTCACAGAGTTTACAATCCTGATCATGTTGTGTATTCAGGGCAGGCAAAGGCTAGCAAGTCTAATAGTATAGGGGCTTACAGCACACACTTGCACCACAAACTGTATGGGAAAGCTTTTCCAATAAAGCTAATCACTGGAAAAGTTTCACTTGCTGCTTGGAGGGGTACAGTTAGGTAGAGTCCATTTTGGATTTCCTGAATGATGCCACACACAGTGCCACACACAGTGTTGAACTACAATCCTATGCTCTCACATTAATATGGTATCGCGTAAGCTTCCAAGAATTCCGCAATGATACATAAAAGTCATTTCATTCTTAGTTATTTACACACACACTTCGATTTCTGATGCTCATCATGATTTCTTAGTATCACCAATAATATGAAAATAAAGTTAAAGAAAAATCTAGATTGCTGTAATCTTGATTGCTGTAATATATAATTTCTTCTCTCTTCCCCGAATTTTAAAAAATAGTGCTCAGTCTCAGTCTCTGTCTACAGGTCGGACCATTCACGATACGGACTGTACAGGATTATATAAAGGTGTCCTAAGATGCGCAGATTGATTCACTCTTCGGTTGTGTCTGCTGCTGGAAGAAAGAAAGATAAAAAACAAAGTGTTAGGACAGTAATAACGTTATTTCATACATGCAATCATTTAGAGCCATGCACATAGGCATTCACTCATAGACCTAAACACAGCCCTTGCGGTTCCAAAAAGACGATATGTTCAGCTGTACACTGCTAAAAGGAGAACTCACCGACATTATCCAGGCGACCAAACCTCCACAATATTCTTTTGTTATAGGGGTCAGCACTTGTATGTTTTGGGTCTGTATGCATGGGCCCTCTGTTTAAATTTAAAATTGAGGGCCTGAAGATGAAATTGTGGGAGACATGTGCAACAGACCCTTGTTAATGTAAAGCCTTGCATAATTTAAACAATCAACAGTTTCAGACATATATTAGACATCAAAGAAATGAATCTGAAAGTCAGAAAAAGAAACAATGAACATGTAAATGTTTCCCAAAAAAAATATGTGTAATATATATTCAACTCTACACTCTGTAAGGGTAACACTCTGTAAGGGTTACTACAATTCCTCTACTATACTGTATGAGACCCACCCTAGCTGATGTTTCTCAAGTTTTCTAAACTGTTTTGTTTGCATTTTAAGAACATTTCTAACTGCCTAGCTGGTAATGTGTAATTTCTTGCATACATACACGATAATGTACAGGATCTAATGAGCCATTCACCATGTAGTAAGCTAAACCTATGATACATAAAATCCTTCACCTCCAACAAGAACTTCCTCCCCCTTTCCTCTGTCAGAGGTAGTGTTTTTTCCTGATAACAGAGTGTGAGGGGCTGGTCACACCTCACCAATATAACAATATACCGTTCCCATATATCACTCCCCTCTTGTTAACTACCGGTATTGTTATTTAGTTATTCGGCAAATAAAAAATATGGAAGCCGGAAAAAGAAAAAATGATGTGGAAAAGGCAATGGAAATTGTTTTTTTAGGTCAGACCTCAATGAAGCTAAAGGTCCTCCCTCAATATAGACCTGTTTCTCTTCAGAACCCCTGGTTACTTATTATCTAATTCACCTTCTACTCATAATTGCATCCAGCGATGTATATCGTTAAGGCGTGACCACATTTACGGTGTATGCATAGAATTTAACATTATCGGCAAGTCTGACCAGCCCTCAAGAAAGGAAGGATACAGGGTCACTATTCATGAAGGTGTGACCATATAATTTGTGCAGAGCCAAGCTTGTCAACGAAATAACTGAAAATCAATCTTAATTTGATTTAAAATGAATAAGGTTTATATTGCACATCTTGTGGGAGTTTTGGTTTTGTTTGATCCTGGTTTAGAAATAAAACAATGTAGTAGGACTAGTGAGATATTTGAGCATGAGACTCCCTAACTTTAGGGAATGTCTCTTGGTAATGAATATAAGTACACTACAGTACTACACATGTTTTTTTTTTTTAACTACAGTATTCAAATAATATATGTAGCCAATCAATAAACACACACATAAAGACCCCCAAATCATTAAGTAACAATGACAGAAGACACCAATTTTTTTCTCACTTATCTGGTCTTTAAAAAGCCCAAAATTTGGAACAAAGAAAGGATTTGTAATTTTCACAAGAAATGTTATAAATTTCCACCACATTGCGGAATACCAGATGGTGTAACTTTATGCTCAGAGTATTGTCAATTTACATGCACACTTGCACAGGGATGCATAGTTATATCACAATTTACATGTACATGTATGTATTACACTACTATACACCCCCATGATGTTGAGACTCATGTCATCAATGTTAATTATAATGATAATTTGCCATTTCCTTTCCTGAGGAGTATTTATAGCAATACCTGTAGATACACATGATTGATCTATTGCATTGCTACACTTCACACTGTGTTCATAATAACTCATGGGGAAAGCAACAAGGTTACAACCTAAAATGGTAATTGTTTGTAATCTTTAATCCCCCCTGTATTTTTATCATGAAGGGTCCTCCGACATTAAGTATGATGGTGCGTTTTGAAATCAGCCATTAGGAAACTAACATGCTGTCTCACTGTCTGTGGTGCAGTGATGATCGATGTATTTTAGCTTTATAGTCAAAGTTCCTCACTCTCTGAACATGGTCAACACACATGCACAAAATGTCATTAATGTTACTAACCACACCCAATGCAATCAAGGGAAGGCATGCTTAATAAATTTAAATCAAATTTCATGTATTCCATTCAGTATCAAATCTCTGTGCATGTAGGAGTTGTATAGGACTACATGTAGGACTAGCAACCACAAGCGACTTGTTTTGTGTTTAAATGTCTCTAATTTTTCTACTTTCTCAAAGTGTAATATATCTTTGTTAAAAGAGGGTAAAAAGTAGCTTGGATAGAAGAAACAAAATGGAGAAACATGGTAAAGGAGGTTTTAGGTTAATCAGACAAAGAATGAGAAAGTTAAAATCAAAATTAAGAAAGTCACTGATGACATGATAATAAGTTATCCATTGGCAAAGACAGTGACATCATACAGAATTAACCCATTTGTTTTATGCCCAAATTGTGATGGAACAGATATTTCTGTTTGTAGAAAGATTTGCACAATCATGTGGTCCGTAGTGGATCATGGACAAAAATACGGCTCCATAATTAAAATGGGTATATGGATATTTCAAATGCATGCGAATATATGTGTCTGGTACATGTACAAACTGGAGGGTTCTTCCTGTATACAGTATATCATCATGCATCATGATTGCATTGCCAATGGGAGATTTCATTAATATTACTGATCTGAACTTTCAACAAATCTTTCCCTGCTTATTACTTGCCTCAAATTTTCATTAATTTCTTATCTGTTTTTTTCTTTTGTTTATAGTTTAGTTCTTGAAAAAAGGAGAAAATAAGCTGTACGAGAGCTGGTCAGAGTGAAAGAAAATAATTTTTCTCTATATAAGAAAGACTACATTGTGAATGGGTTTTTGGCTAAGTAGACATGCTACCAAACTTCCTGGTGATACTCAAAAGGATATGTTGTGATGAAGGCTTGAGATATTAGATCCCTATTCTCATTTCCTGGGAGAGCAATGTTACAGAGAAAAGCTCAGAAAACCCTGGACTTTGGAGCAACACAGTACTGGTAGCTGAATATTTAAATTTCCAATGGATTCTTAAATCTTCTGGTAAAGTTTGTTGTCATGTCTTCTCCATATCCTTGATTTCTCAAGACAATTAATCATGACTATATTTTCTTTTACACTGAAAATTTCAACCAAATGATGAAGCTTAGTCCATGCTTCACCCTAATTGTTTGAAAGGGGGTCCAGATGTCTTTATACATGAGCCTTTAAATATATATAACAATTTAGACATTTTAGAGTTCCCAACCTATATTTTTTATGCCCATATGTCCCGGGTGACTGTTAGTAAACCCCAATTTTATTTCATTATTTTATTTTATTGAGAATAAACATATAGTACATACACCATTCTTTCATTTGGCAAATGCAAAGGAAACAAAACTTGTCATAATAATTAATAAAATTGCCTATCCTTTTACTCTCTGTTTACCTTATTTCCTTGTAGTTCATGAAAGGAAATATCCAGTGTAAAATTAGACTTCCAATGAGGAGAGCTCTTTGGGGATTTGTAAAATTGAAAGTGAGATTTTCTTATCTAAAACTTCTTATCTATGATTGTCTTTTTCAGTTTTTGAGAGCTCTGTAAGCGCTTACTGCAGCTGAATTGTTTACTACTCCCATATTCATCACTGCCTCTATTATTGATTTCTTACATAAACAACAAACAGATTAGACCACATTTACACTCACAGATAAAAAGAGAAAAAAGAAAAAAAGAAAAGAAGGCTATTTATATCAAAAGCAATGCAGAAGAACAACAGGAACCCCTGTTTGCCTTTTAACAACAAGCAATTTTCATAGGCTTTCATTTATTAATGTTTTATTTCTAAGTTGTATACATGTCAAAGCACTCTTAGTAGGCTACACTACATACTCCAGCAGTTTGCTCTGGTGGAGCACTTCCAGGCACATCTGTTTATTCACATTCATGTAAGAGTATAATGAATATTTTTGGTCATGCCTGATTTGCTGAATCATGCATATTTATCAGATGAAATTGTTTCTAAACTTACAGTTCATTGATTAAATTGCACTCAGGATAATAAATGTTTAAATAATGAAAAAGAAAGGAATTCCAAAAGAATTCCAGACCATGAATTGACATTAGAAAACACAAAACATGTTTGTCTGGCCTAACAGATAACCTGAACCTATTTTGTTCCCTGATATAGCTTTCAAAGCTAATAGAAGTAAACTGTCAAATAATTATGTAATCTTTTTAACCAACTTGAAGTGATATACCACGAAGAACCTTTTTTTAGGCCAAATCCATGCCTTCATCTATCACTCAGTATCACCTCTAAGGCAATATCTGTCAGGTAAAGAGTGCTCTTATTCCACAAGTGAGAAAGAGGCCTTTTAACTCTTTATTTGTAAGTGAGAATGGGGTCTTGTAGTTTATATACCTCACCACATACTCCAGTGAAGATTCTTACTTTTCTATACCACTTACCATCTTGACCTTTCTGTCAAACCTCATTTATAAAAATATCTCTACGCAGAGAAGCTTCAGTTCAGTTCAATTGTTTCAGGTCATGTATAAGAACACGAGTTCATCACATGTTCACAGTTCAGAGTATTTTTTTAAATTAATTTGCAGTCTTAAAAGGGGAAGTCTATCCTGATATTAAGTTGGTTTTAATAGAAGCAGAAAAAAGAGAGAAATGGATCAGTGAAACTTGAGTAAAATTTTATTCAAATAACAAAGTTATTTTAAAACTTTTTAAGTTGCAATCAAACAAACAAAAATTGGCAACTTTGTGATGTAACTTGGGAGGTCACATATATCCCATTTGCTCTCCACTAAACAAACTCATGAATTTCAATTTTTTTCTTAACAGAGTTTTCAATCATACATGCATCCTAGATTTCATAATTCCAAATATGTTTTTACACAACCCCATTAATGAATCAGAAAATTGAAATTCATTTTTAAAAATTGTACAGAGAAAATGGGAGAGGACATCATTATATTATGTCAGAGAGTTGCCAATTCATGCTTCATCAAGTACAACTTTGAAAAATTGTTAACTTTTTAGAATTTTAATAGGATCTTCTGTTTCTCTCATTTTCTGCTTTTATCATAACCAACTGAATGTCAGGGTGGACTTCCCCCTTTAAATTCCATGTAATATTACCTGTTCTTTTAACATCTATTAGTTTTCTGTCAACAGCTACAGGCGATAGGTGTTCATAACCGCCTTTTGACGACATTTGTACTTGGATTGAGTTTAACTGTGAGAAAAGAAGAGGAAAATAAATAATGGATTGATACCACAGACGCTTTCAAAATGAATTTGTTTTGTTTTGTATAATAACTTTAAGAAATACGATGAGCCAACTACTTACCACTGCTTAATTGTTTTCACTAGAATTTTGGGTTAACATCATAAAGGGTATCACATATCTTTGTATTCAGAACATGAACATCAAACTGAAGGAAAAATGCAACATTCACAGGGGCTTCCTGTTTCAAGTTACTGGTACACAGCTATTTCACTTTCATGTAAGATCGAATGACTTTGATAGTTGAGATGTTCATAGGATCAAAACTATAAGTTAGTTTCATACCGAGGATCACGGAGAAGGCATGCAATAGTTTGACAAATGCCAATTTTAGTAGCCTCCACAAGCTGCTAAGAGTTCTACCATCTGCTTCAAGTACAACTCACATTATAACTTTTTGGTTCTTTTGGAAGAAAAAAAAATATTATTAACTCTCTGTTTCTGTCCTAATTTGTTTTTGTTGAAGACATAAGGAAATACATGCATCTATTTATACATGTATGTAGGTTGTAGGGCAAGGGTCATTTTTGTAATTCTTTTTATTGCGAATCCTTGTGTACCTTTAGATAGCAGTGAACTCATTCTAAATCTTATAATTCAAGATAATTCTGAACATTTTAATCAACCTATCGATTCAAACTAGAGAAAAAAAAAAGAAGAAAAAAATGATTAGCTCAATTGTTCATAGAGAAAACAACAATATTTCTTTAAATGCATTGCATTCCTTTTCCATTTTTATGTTGAATATTTATATCCCAAATTACATAATCACTTCATGTCTTCATTCCATTTCTCTCCAAGGTAGTTCTATATCCTTCAGACTTTATTTCTATTGAAGATTCAGATCATGAATAATCACTGACCCAAAATCAAGTTTTATTAATATATTGTCTTTGTCAATGATTGTAGAAAGCATACTTACATGGTTGTTCTCTGGGGTTGGTGCCATGTCTCCTGAGCCTATGTGGCCAGTGTGAGTGAAATTTGTTGGAAGACCTATCATACTCCTATCAATCTTTCGCCTCCTCTGTACATAGATAAAAAAGAATACAACAGAAGTGAAAAGAGAAATTATGAGAATTAAAAGTGTAATAATGGTCTTGAAATTACATATATACATGTAAATTGTGAAAAATTTGTCTGGAAGGTGGAAACAACTGAGTAGATTAAGAATTAAGTTTTAGAAATATTCAAAATAATTCAAGATAAATTGACTCAGTCTTGCTCAAGATCACATGCACTGCACAATCAAATAGGTACAAACTGTACATGGGACTATGCACAAATGCTGGCCCAAAAGTTTCAGCTATTTCTTGTCATATTTCACATATGAGGGCATTTTAAGAGAACTTTTTTTTAAAGGAGATTTTGCTATTTTGGTGTTATTCCAAAGTCCAAACTGATGTACAAAGAATGAGAAACCTTGAAACATTATTTTTCATTTTACCAGAACTCAACCTAATCTCAACCTAATCTCATTAAAAGGCATTACTCGATTACATTCGTGCAATCAACATTTGCTACATATGCACTGCTTCAGCAAATTCAAGTGAGTCAATGTCTTATCCATTACAAAGCTGAGTACCTCTAACTTCTGAATTCATCTTAATTAAGGAAGTAAAGTTATTCCTCTTTAATGAAAAAATAAAAAATAAAAAATAAAGCAAAGCGGAGAAACAAAAAATACCAAGCCATATCATTCATGTTGTTTAACATAGATTGATACATGTATCACAGCAATTATAATATTTTATATACCTGTACATAATATGCACAAGCTAATAAAGGAACAGTGTATTGTGCAGGTACATTTTCTATGCAAAGTATGCATCAAATGTCATTAGCCTTTATTAGGGACAGGTCGAATCACATGACAGTAAAATGATATGGCTCAAGTGGTATGCACTTTTGAGAGTGGCATTAGAGTCAGCAAGTCACTTCAGTGTCCTTGCAAAATACTAAATGAATGCTAGGCCATTTGAGACCTAAACTACATAAAACTTGTTTTCACTCAAACTTTCAGATGATCTTTGATTGTACATGTACATCCAGCATTGAAATCACTACCTTAGCACTATTTTTCTCTCATCTGAACAATGTTACCAGGTCCCTTTGATGTAACTGACAACCCAATCAATATAAGCCTTTAAGAATGATCAACGGAAATAATCTTGTTCAAGAAAAGTGTAGGTACATCATACATGTACATACAGATTAACAACGATGGTAGGAGAAGAAGGAGGGGCAGAAGTAGGAGGTAAGATCAGAAGGCTATGCAGGTCCCTTGTGATAAAAGGGAATTAGGACTCCTCGGATGACCTTACTACTGCTCATTTCTACAGAACTATCTTATTTCAAACATTTTCACATCATTTGAAATGTTAATCCGTCATTTTGTTTCACAATGTTTTGTTATATAATGTTCAGATTAAGGAAAATGTAATAACTAAACGTATAGCTCCACAATTCTTATATTGCATTACAGTGAATCCCGGTAGTCTGAATGAAGGGTAAGTTAGTAACAAGTAAATTTGCATTATCGGTACTGATTATATTTTGGGTGGGGATGAATCATATTAGAATTCTTTATCCCAAAAAACTATTCATCTTCTCTTCTCTTTACCACACATTATGTGATCATGAACTTCAGCCAAACCGCTAATACTTAAAATATCACACCACACGTTAAAAACACAATTTTTGTTTTTATAAGCCCTTGGTTCCCTTTGCAGATAGCACACAATGGCAAAGATCATAATGTACAAACATATTGAAGCCAGCAAAATAACCTAGAGGGTACAACGTCATTTTTTTTAATGTTATTTATCCAGAGCATAAATTAATCAAAGTTCCCATACAGTATGACACAATGGACTTTAGACCTTGTTAATAATATGCTAAATACACAGAGCAAGATGCTGCACATACAGTGATATCACAAAGAAAGAACGGCAACAAGAGTTTCTTGACAACTGGGTGTGAAGAAATAACAAAAACATTTGTTGATCTTGGGCCATTCAACGTTTTTGTAGGTTTTCAACGATGAAAGTTTCATAGGAAGGCAATCATACAATTATATTTCAAAGTGTTTCCTGTATCAGATATTAATATTTGCTTCAAATAAAAATGTTTACTTTGAAAAACAGGAAACATGACTTTTCTTCACACAAGTTGTACATGCATGTTACATTGTATCTTAAACTCATCTTTAGGCCTAGACATTATATATCTATCTATCCGACCACATACATGTATATAACGATATGTTATGGATAGATTTAAAGAACAGCAGCATATGCATACATTTTTGAAAACAAGTAGCCAGATACAAAAACAAAAACACCCCTCAACTATATCATGTACATACACTTTGTCATAGCTCAATTGAAGACATTTAGCTGGAATAGCTGCCTGCATCAACAACAGGACCCTCTTTTAGATCACGAGGTCATTCCTCCTCTACCCCTGGTTTAATTTTTGGATTAAAACAAGATTACTTGCAGACCAGGAAACAAGTCAAGTTTATTCTAGTGTACAAATGATAAGAAATGTGTACTAGCACAATCTCTCCATTGGGAATACATGTGTGCTCAGAAAGATAACAATCCTTTTACAGCACCATTTTGGCTGACCTCACGTTTTCCTCTTTATGAGAAATAATCACTAGATCTGCATGGTCATTAGTCATTACAAAGAATTTACTTGTCAGTTATGGTATAGTCTGATTAGATTAAATGTAAGCTACCATATCAATGATTTGTATACACTCAATTTTCATTAGAAAACGGATAACATAACAGAAAAAGGAAGACTGAAGATTTCATGGAAAGTTTGGTTTAAATATGTAAGTGTCATATCGTTTGACTTTGGCGATCATGCTGTTCCACAACCCTCGGCTCCTAGCCTTCTGTGTTAGTACCACTCCCAGTTCTTTCACTCCTCTCTCTTCCAACAATTTCTGCAGACTGTCCATCCAAAATATCCTCCTTCTTCCCCTACTCCTTCTTCCCACAATGTTCCCTGTCAAAGCAAGATTCTCTAGGCCTTCTTTACGTGTAATGTGACCCATGAACTTCAACTGTCTAATCAACATCTCACATATCATTTTCCTTTGCACTCCAGCTCGTGTAAGAACTTCCTCATTATTAACTTTGTTAGTACAGGGGATTTTCATCATTCTTCTTGGAAACCACATTTGATCTTTCCAAACGCTTTTTAGTATCAGAGGCTAAAGAGGATACTCGAGACAAAAAGTGGAGAGAGGGAGGGATATCATTGCGCAAAAGTCAGTAACCCCTCTTAAGAGGGAAACTGCCAACTTTGATAAATAACGAACATGATGAATGTTACAAAATTATAATCATACTTACTGGAGGGGGCTGTTCTGGTATACAACAGGTAAAACACACCAACATGTCGCTCATGGCTGTCTTTTGCTTCGCCACCTTCGCAATTTCCTCGCCCCTGCTCTCTCACCCCTCTGGTTATGCCCTCTTCTTTCTTCCTCCTTCTATCTGCTGTTCTTTCCCACTTTCTCTTCAAGAAAGCCTCAAAGTTCACTCCTTCCTTAAAACAGTCTTCAGTAAGATTGGCTAGTTGTGCAGTACAGTAGATATTGATATAAAGCTGTTTCTGGACCTGCAGATAACAGAAGTAAAAGATAAGCAAAGTGTGTTTAACAATTGTGAATGTTGTAAATATTGTATGCCATGTGATATTAGACACACTCCACAGAAGTCTTCAAATGTTTGACAAACAAAGGGTGGGGGGGGGGGGTAATTTTTTCTGTGGGTAGTCAAAGAAAAGGTACTGGTAATCAGAGAGATCAGATACATGTACATGTATACTGCACAAGGAAAGCTGCACCAATCAGGTAAGCGAGGATGAGCTTCAAAGGATAAGAGAATAAGGAGAGGATGGGTTTCACCCCCCCCCCCCCTGCCTCGTCCACTTTCAACCTACACATACATGTACATAACTGAAGCCTGGAGCCCCTAGTAAAACATGTAGGCCAACAGGATACAAAAATAATGAACAGAGAGGAACGTGTCACCAACTCTTGGCATCAAATACTTTTTGAAGCTCCATAATTTTGCACATGTTGTGAATATAAGCATGAAACAATTCATGAGATCAATTCATGTTTTCTATCATTACTTTTATAGTTATGCAAACTGAGACATGTTATTATATTACATTCAACATTTAAAAAACATTCAAATACATACTACCAGGTACATGTATAGAAGTTTAAGGATTAGCAAGAGAAAGAATGAAAACATGGCAATATTGTACACTCACTGGTCAATTTTTACATTACAAATTGTCACATGCGGGCTGTATTCCAATTCCTCATGCAAGACTATCACTAGTATAATCTATCAATCCAGGCATTTCAGACTTCTGCACATGATGACCACACAAGGCAAAAGTACAACATACATGTACGTATGTACCAACCCACTCATTTCAACATGTTGATCACTTTATCATGAATCCACCGACTTGTGACTGTGACTCCAACTCCTCGCTAATCAATGAACAAACAGATACTGCTTGGGTGGACCCACAAGAAACCTATGTTTATTCTCACATGCATGACTAATTCTTTTGTCTGACATTCAAATAATACCCTCCACTGTCTAAGCAAGTGAGAACAGTACATTGTGCATATTCTTATAACATGTACATGTACGTATGAGAATGTATTCAGTTTCCTTGTTGTGGAAATGAAAAAAGAAGGTACAGTAATACTTTTAGGGACATTCAAATGTTGATCAATAATGAGGGCTGTTTAAAAATACTGTTTTTTTTCTTTTCTTTATATGACTCCTCATACATGTACATTGCCATGTATTGGTTATTGATGAAAACTTTTTAAAATGTAAATCATTATGGTACTTCATGGTGAGCGGGACACAGGGACAAAGTTTCTAGCCTACACTGACTTTACACATACATGTACATGTACATTGTAATTGATAACAAGTGTAATTGTTTCAACTTGTATGGCGATTACAGAGTGATTTCAGAATGAAACATTGGTAATTAATATCAAAAAGATTTGTTATCCTTTTGCCTGTGTTATGCTGCCCCTTCTAGGCATTGTTTTTATGTATGATAAACGAGAGATATACGAAATTCGGCCAATCCCAGCTGATATCTTGACAGACAGATCGACCAAATAAATGGTGTGTTTTAATAACTTAAATGGTGTGCATTGTGACTGGTAGCCATTGACTAATATTTTGGTGGCAGCGGTGGGATACAAGCACATAATAATTTCAGATGAAACATTTCACACAGAACACATTTAACAGAATTGACCTAAATAAGGGACACCTCTTGGGAGACAGACTGTTCAATATCAAAATATATGTGATTTTATATTTTCAGCTTTAAAAATAGGGTACACTTGGCAGGTACAAAGGAATGTACAGGCGTTGACCAAACTTCACCAGGTATTCCCTGCACTCCTAAACATTACTTTTGTTTCAACCTATTGAGCATTTTAATGTTCATTTATAAACATACATGTACATGTAGTTACTGAACATAAAGGTTACACTTTGTTTCTTGGTTGCATTACAAAAAAACATCTACAATGAATGTCATGTACAATAGACCTTCAGCATACAGAAAATGTTCTTTATCATATTTGCACTGTGATGATATGTTTCACGGTTACATGCACTCTTTGTGAAACATGAATACCTATATACCTAATGCACTCTAATGCAAAGACAAGTAACACTAGTTCCTCATCTTATCAATAGTCCCAAACCAAATACCAAATGCAAAAAGCAGAAATGGACAAACAGGAAATGAAACCCAACACTCAAGACTGATAAAGAACCTGTAGCAATAAAGTTCAAGCTCATATCTAGACCTGGCCTGTACCATCTAGTTTCACAGTCAAGCTAAAAGTTGTACTCATATCTGATTTCTACAATAACAACATTCTCTGTCAATCTGTTTCTATCTATTGACAAATTGCTAGTCATGGTTCAAATTGTTTACCAATAGGCTTGAGTAGAGCCCACGTAAAGAAAACACTCCTTAAATAATCCATGCATGCATAATTATATTGCTATGACAGTGCATTAAATGATATATCCATTAAAAGGGACCTTGATATCATAATTATCTTGAACTGTGGGCCTACATGTATACAAGTATTAGGGTTCCATACCACACTGGTAATCTACGGATATTCGTAGTACATAAATCTCCTTCAAGTGTTTGTTTTTAGCTCTCAAATTCTGTGTACTTTACTTTCAGTGATCCTCTTTCCTTTCTTCAATGCCCTTCCTCAGCCCAATAAGTTGAAACACGTTTTCACCAGCTTAGAATAATTTTACTTTTTTTTTACTGTCTGTTTGTGTAAAAGGTTTCAGTGTAGAATAAAAATGGTATTCATTATTTTCATTTTTAAATTAATGTAAAACATTCATTATTTGGGGGAGAGAATCTCAATTACACCTGAATATTACATACAGGCTTAAAAAAAAAATTGTTCTCCCTACCCATTAAAAATGGCATCATTGTTTATTCTAAATGTTCTGATCATACTGTAGGACAATCTATACAAAAAGCAAATATCTAAACAAGGGAAACGCTCTCGGCGGTCTCGCCTGCATAACCGATTCAATATGATAAACCAGAACGTCAATGACGTAGCGCTCATCCGCATTTGCAACAACAAATATCGTAAATTTTATGTGGTACACTTTTGAACTGGTCAAAAAATAAAAATTTGATGCCCTGGAAGGGACATAATTTCATTTCATTTGCATAAATTACCATAATTAATTAATGGAGAACAATTTCAAAATTCTGTGTAGAAGTATAGTGTACCAAAGTTAGCTCTACGATATAAAGCAAACCAAATCAAAATCGGTCAAGAAATGAAGGAGAAGAAGCCTTTTTTGTGATTTCGAATAAATTTGCATAAATTAGCATAGATAATGAATTTCACGATTCTGTGTAGAAATTTTAAATCCCCCTCCTCAGAATCAAAATCGGTTAAAAAATAATGAAGAAGAAGCATTTTGAAAATCTTGATGTTGATGCCACAACAAAGTCTAAGTTTGTTGACCTTAAATGACCTTTGACCTTAACTTAGTGACCTCAAATTCTACTCACATGATTGGGGAGACTTGATAACCCTATAGTCCAAGTTTCATTGACTAAGAACTTATACTTTCAAAATTATATCAAAAATTCAAAAACTTAACCTTAGGTTAAGTTTTCGATGATGATGCTACAACATAGTCCAAGTCTGTTGACCTGAAGGCTGAAATGACCTTTGACTTTGACTTTGTGATCTGAAATTCTACTCACATGATTGGGGATCCTTGATTACCCTATAGTCAAAGTTTCATTGACTAAGAACTTATACTTTAAAAATTATATCAAAAATTCAATTATGTTGACGCCGCCGTCACTGCCGCCGCCGTCGCCGTCACCGGAAAAGCGGCACCTACATGTATGTCTCGCTTTTTGCTACGCAGGCGAGACAAAAACTACCTAAAAATAGAAGGTTCTCAAACTTAAGTAGACATACATGTACATGTATGTTATTTACAAAGTATGATCCTGCTCTTCCCCAGTGGTATCAACTAGATGAATTACTGCTCTGATGAAAGAGCAGTTTCAACTAAAAGAGGGATCAGTGGGATTTTCTCTACCCTTTCACATTCATTATCTGGATCATATTGCCCCATGACATAGTAAAACAACACTCAAGAGATAATAGGATCATCAATCACTTTAACTATGACTCTAGATCACTCATATCCCAATGCTTTGCTCAATATTAGAGCAGCATTACATCAACGCAATCCTTATTAATAGGTGGAGTAATGCTTGTGCATGAGCATTTGTGTCGGGTCAAGTGCTCTTCATAGGCGTTCTTTCAGTTTTGTCTAAGATATTATTATTTCTTGAACATTATAAATTGTACAAGTACTGTACATTAACATGACTCATCTTCATGAAGTTCGTGAATTGAAAGTCCAAGCTTTTTGGCTGACAGCCTCAAGAAATGTATACCAGTACTGGCAATGGAATCTTATCAAAGGAGAACTCTCCTGTTCTTCCTGCATTACCTAGAGAGAAGGGTGCCCCAAGGGCTGAGAAGGTCTGTAGAACACATGGTGAAGATGAAAGATGGAACCTGGACAGTACATGTATCTCTTGAAACCATCATAATCTGTAAGTTTGCTGACGTCCAACTGAGATGTGTGTTGCATACAACACGCATCTTCATTGGATGTCTGTGAACTTGTACATGTACTTTAACCGGTATGACTATTTCATGAGACACTGCCATGGCTGCTTGTACAGTTTGTCTGGGTCAACTTGGAAGCAAAATAGCCCAAAGTATATGTTAAAGGCAAGTCGCTCCCTACAATATATATATATAAAATAAGGCCTACAGATGTTTCTTAACAGCTTGAAAATTAGGATGCATGCATCATGCCAGCAGACACATGTAATATAACAATTCCAGTAACAAATGCTTCATTGCTGTTTTTGCCAGACACATTATTAATCTAATGAAATAATAAAACAAACTATTGTCAATATATCTGAAATGGAAAATTAAACACATTCCCTATAATATCTGGTTCATA